ACGCGTATTTATCCAAAATGTTAAACTCAGATCAGACGACTGACGATGTGATATACAAGTCTAGATGGTTAAGGTTATTGCACTACGTTTCAATAAACGCAATCACCGAGATAATTTACGAAAAATCGTAAATATAGTCATGTTCTCTCTGTTTTCCGGTAGTTTTTGTTTTTCTCATCCACCTATGAATCGAGACCGTATGTATTCTGCTCACAGGGGAAAATTCGACCATGTTTTCTTTGAAGAGTAATAAAACACATTACCTCGCTTCTTTGGTTTACCGTTCGAGTTCATGACAGGTCTTCAACGGTAAGGATGAAACTTCAGAGAATTTGGCCCTGCCATGCACTTCCTTTTTCCGTTGTACCTTCTCTGCAGCATGACAGGCTGTATTTTTGGAGAAGGTGCATAGTTTATACGGTAAATACTTCAAGTAAGACTAGCTTCACAATGTCTTTTTTCACAAATATAAAGATTTTTAAATCATCGAGTAAAAACGGATAAGTAGTGTTTGAAGTATCGCAATAGACTTTAGAATAGGCCTAACCTATCACATTCAACCACGATAAAGCAGGTAATGCAATCAAGGTAGTTGTAAACAGAACTTCCGTTCCAGAAGGGTAGGATTTGGCTGCACATAGAAACAGATTTTTGTGTACCGTTTGACCTTCCGTCCACCAGTTCGTTATAATGACATGATGTTCAGGCAACACGTTATATTTTGATTTCCTGCTATGATAATGTCAAATCAAATTAGTCCTCTTTTTCTTCAAAACAGTGAAGCGTTATGGCCGAGAGATAAGAGTCAAACGTCACTCGATGTAATTCGACGCGACAAACCTTTGCCACCAGCTGATGCTCACGTCTGACGCTCCTTTCGGTGCAAAATCTAGTTCAAGTCACACGGAATAATGAAGTTGCCGACAGTCAGCCGTATCTGACTCCAACGATCAAGACACACGGAAGGCGACATTCTCTTCCTCACAGAGTCACAGAATTCGCTCCCTTGTAAAGTTTGCAGGGTCTTCGACGTTATATTTGAACAAAATCTTCTATGCTCGACGGTTAGATAATCCTATTTTAGTTTCTGTTTTTTGAGATCATCACCTTGAGCCGTTTGCATGAGCAGATTTTCTTTGGTCTGTGATTCGACTTCAAAACATCGGCCTTAAGGCAACGGCAACTACGTCGTAAAAGCAACAAATTCCTCTCTTGAAACAGATGTGTCTCTGACTTGTTCCTCGAGGTTGCATGCTGCCACCATGTTCTATTTTCGCTGTTTCGGCTCCCACACGAGAAACTCAAGTGCTGGTGCAAACGGTTTACGCCCAACCAGTTTGTATATGAGGGACAACATTCTCTTTTAAATTTCCTCATTTAAATGCAGTTGGTGCAGAACATAAGATAGAGTGGTGCGTTACATGGTTCTGTCATTTAACTCTCATGCTTTGAAATTAACCGTGCATATGCAGCTCGACCGTCGTTCTTGTTCCTTCATTAAAACAACTGTTTTTATGTCGTATAACTACACTCGTCTGATCGAGGTAAGATACACGCGGATTTTCGTGGTAATGCTAATTTCTTTTTCCGCCTAAACATTGGACAGGTTTCCAAAAGCACTTGAGGCAAGGGCGATCCTTCTCTTCAACTTTGGGTGAATAATGTCATATCACTTAGTGAAAGACCTCCATTTCGTGGCAGTTTTATCCATCTTTATCAAATGAACTTTTTCATGCTCATCTTACCATCGATCTGGAGCCATTTGCTTTCCTGGAACAAAGTGTAATGTTTCTCTAGCACAGCAGTGGGTGGCAGTTCTTGCAACGTGTCCTGCCCATTGCCACCTTAACTTCTTCACTGCGGCAACGACATCGCAGACTCTTGTTATTTTCAGCATATACATTTTTATGTTGCGTTGCGTAACCTGCACTTTATGATTAGCTTTCTGGCTAGGGGTTCCATCTTTCAAATCTATGTTAGCACTCTCAGCGTACACTGTTCTAAATCTTTTCGTTTTAAAATCTTTCGAATAGGAACATTTTCAATTTTCCAAATGCGCCCCATATGTTTTATTCTACCGTTGATTTCCCATATTCAGTTTTTAATTGCAGAAGTTAGCTGCTCCAAATAATCGTAGTTTTGCACTTCTTCAAGTCTAAGGTCATCGACTTTAACAGGTCGCGAAGTTATATATTAGTTAAACATGACCTGAGTCGCCTTTAGGTTCATTTGCAGTCTAAATTTCACGCTGGCAACTTCCAGCTCTTGGATTTTTCTTTACTTCTGAGTTGGAGGCTCTTTGCTTCTAAGTCATCTCTTGAATGCAGTCTTCTTCCTGTTGAC